CTTTTACTATATGATACTAAGTATCTGATAGTCTGGAAAAGGCCAAACTAAGGAGACAGCAAAAGATAGTAGTTTCCAGGGACCAGAAGCGAGGGAAGGAAGGCTGAATAGATGAAGTATAGGAAGTTTTTTAGGGCAGAAACTACCCTGTATGAAACTGTAATGGTAGATATATGTTATTATACATTTATCAAAACCCAAGAATGTACAAGGGAAAGTGTGAGTCCTCATGTAAACTATGGATATTAATTAATAATTATGCATTAATGTTGTCTCATCAACTGAAATAACTGTACCACAATAATACAAGATGTCAATAATAGGGGAACTGTGAAAGTGGGAGTGGAGATGAGATGAATGGGAATTCTCTGTACTATACATGCAATTTTTCTGTAAGCCTAAAAAATAAAGTCTAAATGAAGAAAGTGCCTGAGATTGTGGCTCTCAGGCAGGGATAGCATAGTACAGAATTCTCTAGATAATCACACTCATTCAAAAAGGAAAAATGAGAAACTTCTTGTCCAGAATAAAAAGGTCAAGGTATGTTGACTGACTATAGAGGCTTCCCCCATTTCACACACTGGAGTGGCAAAGATGTGTGCACAGGCAGATGGAGATCTCAAAGGCCATTGTTGCAGTCGTGCTGTAGAGCAGAGAAAAATCTTTGAGAAACAGACGTGCAGCTACTATTTCTGTCAGCTGAGGAGAAATTTAAGTCAGTTCTTACACGCAGGGACACACATCTGAACTCATACCCAGATTCACTTCCATTCTGCTGTACCTGTTCTCCTGGTCCTTCTCTTCAACCTTCTGATTTGGAAAGAAGTTCTCTCATACAATACTAAACAAGTCTTAAAAAAAAAAACGAACACAGAATCCATACAAAAAATACCGCAAGAACAAAGGTGGAAAGGATAGGGAAAAACACGTGGCAAAGATCCCATGCCAGCAGAATGTACAAATCTGTGCGCTCATCCTAAGAACTCAAGAACTTCATGAAATCATCAATTCTGTAGAAAAAAAAATTAATTAAAATTAAGACAAAGAAAAAGATTTCAAGAGATAAATAATATGATAATATAAGGAGGCGAAACGTGTGTACACACAGGTTGGTCAGCAAATGGTGGAGGAAAACTAGGCTACCCAGTAGAGATAGCCAAGCTCAAAGTCACAAAACTTAAAAGAGACATTGCTGAAAACACAGTATAGTGTTTTACAAATAAAAAACTTTAAAGGTTTTTCTTTTTTAAAGGTAAACAAAACAGTGTAAGATCAAGAGATTAATTTTTCCAAAAAAGGTTTAGTGGAAAAATGATAGATAGGGAAACTAGATAAAAAGAGATCCCTGATAGGCATAATCTATTTCCCCAAAGAAGAAAACCAAACAAATGGAACAGAAAAATATAGTATAATCTGAGAAAACATTAATAATATACCGTTAACACTTTGAGCCATATGTTTACAGAAAAAATGATGCCCAACTCAATACCAATTAGGGTCTTTGAAAAGTAGTGAATTTCCAAAAAAAAAGACCATCTTTGCAATTGTGCTCAGTTAACAGTAGCCTCTTAACTAACTTCAAAACACCATTCTTACAACTTTTTCTATTCCTCCCATAGCATGCACACTAGTCTTTTAGACATATAAATCGTATCACATTCTGCTTAAAACAATTCAATGACTTGCCATTGCAAATACGACGGAATTGTTCCCAGGCCTGGTATTAGCTGACTTATAGCTCTGTTTGTCTCTCAACTTGAGTCACTCTCTCCCTCACTCAGTAGACTCCACCAAATTTGGCCTCCTTCCTGTTCCTCAAACATGCCCATACTGATGCTGCCTTGGGCCTTTGTGCTTGCCCTTCTTTCAGTCTGGAATAAATAGAACAGACTTCCCCCAGGCTTTCCTATATCTAATTCTTTCTCATTCTTCAGGTCTTAACTCTTATCATCTGATCTAAAGTAGTGTTTCCTCTCATAATTAACCTTATATTACATTTTTTTATTTTTAGTCTGTTTCTTTTAAAATATAAATTCTACCTGAGAGATGACCATTCTAATTTTTTCAATTTTTAATTACTTCATTTAGGTTGACAATAACTCTGTAATGTTTAAACAGTATTGTGTTTAGATATGTAATTGCTAAAAAGGAATTTTAGTCCATTGCAAATAGGATTTTTACACAAAAAATAGGACTGTTCTGTTCTACTAAGTGAATATTAATGGAGAACTGAGTCTTTATCTTCTATTTTGTTTATAACCTACACTGGTAGTTATCACACAGTGTTCATAAATGATGGAAAGATTATTTCTTATCCAAACCAGCAGGTACAGAACAACACACATACGAGAGAGAGAGAGACAGAAAGAGAAAGAGAGAGAGAGACAGAGACAGAGAGGTGTATTCGTGTATTCTAGGGAGGGGCTCATGTGATTATTGGTGCTGGCAAGTCTGAACTTTGCAAGGCAAACTGGCAGCCTGGAAACCCTGGCAGGTGTCAGTGTTGCAGACTTGATTTCAAAGACAGTCTGAAAGCTGAATTTCTTTCTCTTTGGGGGACTTTTTCTTTTTCCTTAAGGTTTTCAACTGGTTAGATGAAGCTTATCCATAATTTAAAGGATAATCTGCTTTGCTCAAAGTGTACTTATTTAAATGTTAATCATATCTAAAAAATACTTTCACAGCAACATTTACATTGGTGTTTGACCAAACTACTGGCCACCGTAAACTACCTATGTCAACACATAAAATTAAACCTTACAGAGACAGTTGTTGCTTTTGCAAGATTCCCTTTTCAACTTATACAACACTGTACTCCACACTCTTCCCTTAACGCACTTTTCTTTATTTGTATATCCCTAATTAATCCATATCATTCTTTCTCCCTAAAATTATATGCACTTTCTTCTCAGTGAATAGCCTCATGTATCATGACTAAGGATTGCCAGCCTCCTAAGTACCACTCCACTATGTGGAATATCACTTCCGTATGGTGGTTTTGTCATGTTTGATGATCTCTCTTGCATCATTTATGAGTATAGAACATATAGCCTTAAAGCCATCAACAAGAAATTGACAGTGGAGAAACTGGCACCCACAGCCAGGTTTCTGTCATTCTCAGGAGATTAGCTTACAAAACTAGGCTGCAGTGGAATGCTTGGAACATGGTGACATCACAAGATTACACCATAATGATTCCTGTTCCACCTGTCCTACCTACCCTGTGGTTGTATTTGATCACTGCATAAGAGATAGTAGAAATGGCATAATCTTTGAAGTAATGAAATTTTCAAGCCATGTAGTTTAGTGAGTTGCTGAAATGGGCTAAGGAATCTAAATTCAAATGGACAAAAAGGGAAGCAAACAGTTTTACTTTAATTTTCAATTTCAGTGTTTTAGGGGTAAATCAAAATCATCAAAATATAAGACCAGAAAGGAAATTAAAAATCTTATAAAGTAAGTATCAATCAGTATTAACATGCAACTCTAAATCTTTTTAATCTTTAAATGTATACATGTATCTTTGTGATTCCAGCACTTATGTTTATTTTTTTCATAAGGCATCTTATAAATGCATTCATGCTTGTTTATTATCATGGAAAAGAAATATTGGCAAATGACTATCTTCTGCCAGTTTATAGAAAACAGCAGCACATGTGGGAGATGATTTAAAGGAACACGAAGAATTGCTCTTCTGCATATTACTTTTTGGGCCTCTCTTTGGTCAGGTTGAGATCTTTGTGGAGATATCTTGTTTTTTGTCCTTTGTTTTGTCCCTGCTTCTTGAGATGGCCCGTGCCTTGTTTCCAAGGCATTAGCATGCATGTACAGCCATCTCTGGCCACCTTCCAGCATCTGCTTATAATCCTTAGGCCTAGGTCTGTGCAAAGAGATTTTCGAAAGCAGATGAAACCCAAAGGTTAAAGCTAACATGTGCCAAATGAGTTTTTAGGTTGGTGCACAGATAAGGAAAGAACGGAGTCACATGACAGGCAGAGCTGGCCTGTGATCTTCCTGGAGGCAGAGCTCAACTGTTCTCCAAGCTGTTTCTGTATTTGGTGGGGAATCCCTGGGATGTTGCCAGTTCAGACCTTCAGGAAGTTCTTGACAGCTGAAGCTGACCAGCCTTAAAACAATGATGTTTCCTTAGTTTCCTCTTTAATGGCAGCTGTTGTTACTCAGCAGTCCAGTCAACATTATCTACCTGGAGCTTATACAGGAACATGGTCTTGGTTTCAGTTCCTGTTCACTGCCTCACTCACTGAGTTGATTTCCTTGGCCAGCAGTTGTAAACCCATGAGCTCTCCACCCCGCTGGAGGTGTCTCTTCCCTTTAGACTGTTTGGTCACCTGAAATGAGCTTTAAACATAATCTATTTTCATGTGTTTTCATTCTTTTCTTTTTCCTTTTATAATCTGTGATATTGATAAAATGGATCTTTTAGAACACTTAAGTTGTTGTTTTCCTGAAATTCAGAGGAATTTATCCAATGAAATAGCACCTGTGAATGACTTTTTATACATTTCAAAGCCTTATTCAAATAGCATGTACTACATGTAAGATATACACAAGATTATTAAATATTTGACAACTATTATAAATTCAATCCCTCCTTTTTCTTTCCATTTCAGTTGCTTCCTTTAATAGCAGACATTTGTTTATGAATTCTCTTCCCTATCTTCCTTAGTTTTATTCATTATTAGAATAGCACACTAAAGATATTTACAGTAGGTACTTCTAGACTGGTGTATCATTGCACTGAAATGTTTGGGAAACTGCAAATGCTCAAATCTATTAGTTGTCGCTTTGTATGATCAATTTGAGAAATTAAGAGCTTTCCAAATGTTAATGAATTTTTTTTTCTTTCTTTAGAGAGTACATCTTAAGGAATAATCAGAGAGTGATTGGCTATATTTTGCATCCCATTGCAATACTTGTTTTCTTGCTACCCATTTTCCTTCACTTTTTTTTAAATGTTTAATCTGTATAAATTTTTGTAGAAGACTTCTGGATACTGAAGATGAGCTCAGTGACATTCAGACTGATTCAGTCCCATCTGAAGTCCGGGACTGGTTGGCCTCTACCTTTACACGGAAAATGGGGATGACAAAAAAGAAACCTGAGGAAAAACCCAAATTTCGGAGCATTGTGCATGCTGTTCAAGCTGGAATTTTTGTGGAAAGGTAAGTGAAATTGTTGGTATTCCAAGACAATAATATTTGAAAGGCAGTAGATATGCACATTTTATCAAAGGTATGAGCAGTCTGTATTTCACTTATTGAGGAAACCTGCAATCATAACTAGAATGAACAAATTTGGGACTTTATCATGAACTTATCTGTAACAAAAACACCTGGTCCTGGATGCATTCTTTTTATTTATTTTAAGTTGACATGAAGAGTGAAAGCAAAAACTTTTGAACGGCCTTGCTCCTCAAATGAACCTTTGTGAACAATTGTTTAAAAATAATTCTGACACATGTATATGTTACACAACTAATTTTACCTGAATAAAATGTAACATTTCATTAAATACATTCTACACTGGTTAGCAATCTACTTGTCAGAATCACTCAGGCCTTTCTCTGCCCTAAAGACAGAAGACCATTCTCTTCCCATCTTTCCATAATGGGAGGAAATCTCTCTCATGATCACTTTTGATAAGTTTTTTTTTTTTTTTCTCAACATTTCTGTCACTGAATATGTCAAGGGATATTTGATGGCCCCTAGAAATGCCTAGTTACATCATCAGAGTTTCCAATGTGAAACACTTGTTAATATGACCCAATTTTACATTCTTTCAACCCTTAAGAATACAGCTTGTTTTTCCATTGAGGAAACAAGATGTTTCCTAGAACTAAAACTACAAAAGACCCAAAATAAACATTTTATGTTTGACAAAATTGAAAAGTAGTTATCTGAAATCCCTTAGATTAAAAAAAATTATATGAAATTATATGTAGAAAGATTATTTGAATATTTTAGAAACTAATAAAGTTGAGGAACAGAGAAACATTTTTGCCAATATGCTTAAAATTAAATTTTAGAGAAAATGCATTCTTTCTCATCTTCTGATATCTCTAGGCATTACCTTTAATAAATATTACAGACTTTAATTTTTTTCTGCTAAAGGGACAATGGAAAGCACATTTGAATTTCAAAATAAAGGGATGGAGGAAAATTTACCAAGCAAATTGAGAGAAAAAAAAAAAAAGCAGGAGTTGCAATCCTAGTCTCTGATAAAACACACTTTAAACCAACAAAGATCAAAAGAGACAAAGAAGGGCGTTACATAATGGTAAAGGGATTAATGCAACAAGAAAAGCTAACTATCCTAAATATATATGCACCTAATACAGGAGCACCCAGATACATAAAGCAAGTTCTTAATGACCTGCAAAGAGACTTAGACTCCCACACAATAATAGTGGGAGGCTTTAACACCCCACTGTCAATACTAGACAGATCAACGAGACAGAAAATTAACAAGGATATCTGGGACCTGAACTCAGATCTGGACCAAGAGGACCTATAGACATCTACAGAACTCTCCACCCCAAAGCCACAGAATATACATTCTTCTCAGCACCACATCACACTTATGCTAAAATTGACCACATAATTTTGGAAGTAAAATACTCCTCAGCAAATGCAAAAGAACGGAAATCCTAACAGTCTCTCAGACCACACTGCAATCAAATTAGAGCCCAGGATTAAGAAACTCACTCAAAACTGTACAGCTAGATGAATATCTATAAATGTAAATGAGAGTGCATGACATGAAACATATTACACAACTTAAAGATGGTTAAATACACTACGCAATTTAAAGATGACTTTTCTCTAGCATCAAATAAAAAAAAAAACTAAATAGTACATCAGAAAATCTGTGAGAGAATCACAGATAAAACATGAGGGTATGTTTGATTTGCCAAAGGAATGTATATTTTGCATTTTTGTTTAAAAAAAATTGCAGAACTTGGCAAACTAGGAAAAAATGTAAGCTGTGGAGGAAGATCAACTGAATTTCCATTTCCATTCAAGAGAAGGTTATAATATATAAAATATATGAATATGCTAAATTTCAATTATTTCATATGTTACATAAAACACATTTTATTTAATAGCTTATGAAAGTATCAAGTTGTACTTAAGGTAACTAAATTAGTAAGCAGTCTTTAAGAAATCAATGTGCTAAGAACATATGGAAATAGTGTTTTTTATCATTGTTGAATCCCCACTAGCAGGTGCATAAAAATAATGGGACAAATTTATTGTAAATTTTCAAAAGTAATCATCTTCAGTCCTGACCACTGAAAGTCTGCTTGAAGTCTTGCTGCTGCTTCCTTCAAACACTCTCTCCCAAGATTCAATACCCCGGCAAGCCCTGGCAACTACTTACCCAAATGCATTCTGAATCCACTTACTTCCTCATCTCCACTCCTGCAACCACAATGTAAGACTCCACTATCTGCCATCAGAAAAATGACAGTAGCTTTCTAACTGGGCTCCTCTCCTCCTCACTTGCCCACCCAACCAAGTCATTCCACAGTGATGTTTTTAGAATATAAATTAATTTCTGTCACTTTTATGCTTCAAACCATAACAGAGTTTCCCAATTCACTTGAGCCTGGGTTAGGTCCCTTTTTACTTTCTAGCTTCATCTACTTCAACCTTCATCCTTGACTGAAAATGTATACCAGCCTGATTTCAATTTCAAGAATATTTCTAAAACTGTTCCTGCTTTGGAGCCATTCATCCTGTTGTTTTCTCTGTCAGAAGTGGTTCTCCCCACCCTTCAACATGGCAGGCTGGCCTTTTACCTTTCCAAAGGTCTTCCTGGATCACTCTATGCTGTTCCTCACTATTGCTGCCCCAGCCAGTGGTTTACCTCCTAGCCCTTATCCCTGTTTGTAATCATATATTGTCTCTTATTTTTAAAATTTCTCTTCACCGCTGGAATAAGCCCTGTGAAACAGCAACAATAGTTTCCTTACCTTCCACTAAATAAGTTTGTTGCCTCACAGAGTGCCTGGTATAAAATAGTGTTTGGTTGGTTTGTTTGTTTTCTTTTTTTTTAATGGAGTCACCCAGGCTGGAGTGCAGTGGTGCGATCTCAGCTCACTGCAACCTCCACCTCCCTAGTTCAAGAGATTCTCCTGCAGGAATTACAGGCACATGCCACCACAACTGCCTAAATTTTTTTTTTTTTTTTTTTTTTTTTTTTTTTTTTTTTTTT